CGTAACAGCGAAGGCAGCCCACGTCGAGGCCACAGCAGCCTCGACAGGTGGCTGCCAGTCTGCTGCAGCCTTGGTTGCAGCCTGCCTGGGTTGCTGCTGCCTCGACAGGTGGCTGCCATGGCTGTAGCAGCACAGGCAGGTGCTGCCGAAGCTGCAGCAGCCATGGCAGCCGCCTGTCGAGGCTGCAGCAGCCCAGGCAGGCTGCTGCCGAGGCTGCAGCAGTCTGGCAACCACCTGCCGTTGCTGCTACAGCCTTGGCAGCCACCTGTCAGGGCTGTTGTGGCCTCGGCGCGGGATGCCTTCGCTGTTTCGGCAGCAGGGGCGGCTCCTTCGGGTGTCCCGAGGCGGCGGAACTTGCATATTTTTTTTTAAAAATAAAATTTGAGCCATTTGAAATCAACTTGGCGGACCTTGCATATTGTAAAAAAAAAAAAAACTTGAAAAAATTTTGGCGGTTTTATTTAAAGAGTGTCTAACGGTTTAACGCTGACAAAAATTGAGAATTAAATAATTTACCTCTTTATTAATCAACTTCACCCATGCACGTGGCCAATCAACGAAGCTACCTACAGCTTGCCAAAGCGTTGTTATCTCAATCTCCTCTATCGGTACGGGTAGTGGGATGTCTTCGAACCCCGCAACAACTGAATCGATCCCAACCGAGTAATGATATGGCCCCGCCGTAGCACCCGTCGTCGGTTGGGCACTACCATACGCCACCAAACTCAACGCGGTACTATTTGCATGCCCCGGGGCTAGAAGTGCACACCGGGTGTCTTCCTACACAAGTATATATATAAAAAGAAGATAGTTAAATAGGACTTTTAAAACAGCATAGATAATATAACAAAATTCATAGATAATAATTCAAACACTTCACCTTCAACAACTTGCAACATCTCATCCACTTGTTCATCCTCGACCTCATCCGCCTGATCTTCATCGGCTCCATCCTGACCATTATCAACAATATACTCATCATTCTCGTATTCCTCGTCCACATGAATCTCATTTCTTCTAACACGCACATCATTCCGATCAAGATCCCCACTGTACTCTCCACTTTCTCCGTGCCAAATCCACACATGGTATAATTGCCTAAACCCACTACATAATACATGATCTCTAATGATTTCAACACTATTGACCACATTCACATTATTACAATCAACACAAGGACAATAAAGGCCTTTGCCTCCCAGATTGCGTTGATAAGCTAAAGCCCTCTCGCAAAACTCTTGAACCCCATTCCAAAAGTCCAATGTATCGCGTCTACCATACATCCAACCACGATCCTTCGCCATTTAGTAAATTGTCTCTAAACATATATAGCACCATATAATTATAATGTGTAAGTGCTAAATATTTTATGTAAATCAAATTCAAGTCAAAACATGAATATACCACTCATATAGTGAAAAAATGCATGGTCCTTATCACTCCAACCTAACCCATCCTTGAATGTCTACTCTCACTAGTGAATGTATGTCAACTTTCCAATTTTAAGGAAAATCCGGCAGCATTTCCCCCTAGTTCTCCAAGTACACGATGTAGATAATTATTTACCCACATATGTACCCAGAGAACATAGTGAGGAAATGGTAAGCCAAGATGTTCCTTAAAATCGAAAAGAAAACATACATTCACCACCTAAGTGAGAGTACACATTCAAGAACAGTCCCAACCGGGGACTATTCAAGACTTTCTCCTAATGAGAAAGCCTTGAACGGGTATCTAGGCATATGATGATGCAATTCAAGTATTCTATATATTGTTGTATTTATTTGCAATTAAACAATACACAAGTTGCAATTTCATGAATAAACTTTTATTAAATGGATAAATAGAAAGAAATATAGCTAAGTAAAGTTTATAAGTCATACCAATATAGCAACTACCCACTTGAGCTCAATATGTAGTCCTCAAGCTAATTAAACTCGTGTTTCAATTCACAAATCTGTTAAAAAAAAAAACAATATACAAAAATTAGGTTTAATATAAGGTATGTACTATTTCTTTCTCATAACATGTCAATTCACTAATTTATTTATAAGCTAAAACACATCATTCATTGAACTAACAATTGCTAAACTAACAAGGTTACTAATCTCTAATTTTTTCAAAATTACCCATCAAAACAACTTAAAAGTAACCATTCACCCATTCCAAAATTCATCTACTGTATTAACAAGCAAGGTTACTTAGCTAATCTCAAATTAATTCAAATATACCCATCAAAACAATTTAATATTAACCATTAAAACATTCCTAAATTCAACTTATTTAATAACAAAGTTAACTAATCTCTAACTTATTCAAAATAATCCATCAAAACAACTTAAAATTAACCATTAAAAGTAAAATACCAAATTTCACCTATATAATTAAGCATCAAGATTAATATATTTTCTATAATTATTTCAAAATATCCACCAAAACACATTAAATTAACCATTAAAACATAATAAAATCCAACTAATTGAGTAACAAGGTTACTATTCTCTAATATTTTCACAATTTCCCAATTATATTCAAACCTAAAATTGAGAAAAATTATAATCAAACCTAAATTTTAATTTACTAACAATGGTTCAAAATGGAAAACAAATTAATATATATAATTATATAATTGGAAAATAATGTAAAAAAAAAATTAAAAACAAACCTTGAGACAAAATAGGCAGCAGCTAGGAGGAGAGGCAGTCACGACAAATGGAGGATGGCGCGGCTCGGTTGTGGAGGAGCCTTAGGGGGGTGGCGCGACTAGGTGGTGGAGGAGACAATTAGGGCAGCAGCTTGGAGCAGTCACAGAAGATGCAAGGACCCTCAGGCCTGTGGCGCGGCTCGATGGTGGAGGAGCCCCAGGGGGGTGGCACGACTAGGTGGTGGAGCAACCTCAGGGCGGTGGTTTTCGAAACAGAGAAAGAGAGGTGACGGATGTGGTTTTCGAAAGAGAAAGAAAGGGAAAACAGAGAGAGGAAGGATTGAAGGTGGTTTTCGAAACCTCTGGTGGCCGCCGATGAAGGTGACGGCTGTGGTGGAGGGAAAGAGAGGAAGGAGAAGAGTTAAGCACGATTTTTTTGCCCAGCTCTAATGAAACAGTATATTGAGAAAGCTATGAATGAAAGAGAAAGAGAGGAATGAGAAGAGTGTTAAGCGCGTTTTTTTTTTGAATTGGGACCGGTTCAATTGGCACTGGTTCAAACCGGTGCCAAATTAATTTTAGGCACCGGTTCAGGCCAAACCGGTGCCTTTTCTCTTTTCCAAAAATCCCGCCCATTTCAAGACCGGTTTTTGCCACCGGTTTGGCTTGAACCGGTGCCAAATAGGGGGTGCCTATTACTATTTTTCTACTAGTGCTAGGTGGTACGCCGAATCAACACATTATTTGGCCGTTCAATTGACTTTATATGAGTTTGTCCGTTGAAACTATCGTTCAGACGCTCTCAGAAAATTTCAAGTATGATCTCAACTTAAAATTTTTAAGTTTGGCTGGGCTGGAATGCCTAGGTACGCCCTTGCCCCATTAGATAGGTTTCATAGGGTACCTTACCTTTTCCGTCCGCCGCAGTGAGGGACGGACGTATACATGCGACTCAGGGTCAAATTGCCCATTTTTATTTTATTTAATTTACTTTATTCAGCGACTGAGTTGCTGTGTTGCATGCAACCTACTCACAAATTTCACGCGGCATATCTGTGCAGGCTATGACCGTGCAAATAAGCATAAATTAAATGGAAATAATATAACAATGTTTGACTTTTCATTAATTTTTCAAAATTACATTGTTGTGGCCGTACGACTTACATTGCTCGGTCAACAGACCTAGCTGTATACCCAGCTTTTGGCTAAGTACTTAAACTTAAACATAATATTTCTTCAAATTGTCAGTGTTCCATGTACGCGGAATGGGTCGGCCGTTCATGGCTTCAAATTGTCAGTGTTCCATGTACACGGAATGGGTCAACAGACCTAGCTGTATACACAGATTTTATGATTTTTACCTTCTAGGAGACGTTCCGAATTACCATAAATACAAAGACTATTATGGCCAGTGGTATCCAGATTATATTTTCTTAACTAAATATCTCGTAAGAGTGGAGAAAGCTCATTGTCAGCACTTAAACCTTCCCTACCCTGACTACTACTACGATAACCCAGTAGGGAACAATCCTCCTCCTAATCAACAATCAGAAAATTCTTCTTCTTCTTCTTCTTCGTTAAGGGGTGGTCAGGCAGAGAATGGAGAACAACAAGAGGGAAATAGTTTACTTATGGAGATTTCTAATCCAAATCCACCTCCAACTCCAATAATAATAGATAATTCATCGGATGAGGAGGAAGAAGGGGAGTTTGTATAAGTAGAACCTGAACTTGAGTCACCTGAACCAATGGAGGAGTCAAATGATTCTAATTTCGATCCTTCAAGCTACAAGCAATCCACCGACAAAAGGGACAACGTTCGAAAGGATTAGATCTTATAAATTTCCTCGTCACGAATTCATAGTCTTTATTTTAGTTATTGTTATTTCAGTTTTAAAGCAATAAGTGGCATGACCACACAAGTTTCTAGAACACAATTTTTTATTTTAGTAATTTCAGTATATTTTAATTAATAAGACCTTATTTATTTCCTTGTTAAATTTTTTTTTGTAAATAAATTCATTTGTTTTCCAAATCTCCCATTTCACATCACTAATCCAATAATCAACTTTCCAAGCAAATTAATTCCAACGAACATTTCTAAGCTATGGGCGTCTATGGGAATTAATTTTTTTATCTATGTGATGCGTTATTAAATGTATGGTTGGTTAGCAATCAATAATTGAGGTAAAGCTACAAATTAAGGGAATTCTTAGCTCTCGCTATCCTAAATTGTTAGCTTAAAATTTTAATGTGAATGTTTAAAGGTCGTTAAGTAATAGATGAGTGTATGTCTTGAGAGCTAAACCTAGCCATTTCTAATATAAATCCTTGTCCTCAATTCAGGAGAAGCAAAATGGCAGGGGGAAGAAGTTCTAGTAGTGGTGGAAACGATTTGAATGAAGTAGTAAGGCAATTGGAAGCAGTTGCCCAACAATTGGCAAGAAACTCAACTGGTAATGGGGATGCTCAAAGAGATCTCTTTAAGACGGTGGCACAAAGTAAGCCACCAACATATCAAGGCAAGCCTGACCCTATTATATTGGAAAACTGGTTGAGGGAAATTGAGAAACTATTTGGAGCTGTAGGATGCCCTGAAAATTCAAAAGTGAGTTGTGCTACTTACTACCTGAGGGGTGAAGCTAACCTTTGGTGGTAACAAAACGAAACTACCATTAGAGCGCTACCTGGGTTCAACTGGACCAAATTCCAAGAGAAAGTGAGAGACAAGTTTTATCCTAGCTTTTTGCAAAAGCAGAAAGCTGAGGAATTCTCAAACCTTAGGATGGACAGGATGTCAGTTACAGAATACTACACCAAGTTTATTAAATTGTCCCGTTTTGCTGAAGGGTCTGTCTCTACTGAGAAAGAAAAAGCTAGGAAGTTTGAGAGTGGCTTAACTACTAATTTGCAGTTAAAGCTGTGTGGGCAGGTATTTGAGACCCTGGATGAAGTATATGGAAGGGCCGCACACCTTTATGCTTTGGAAGAAAAGAAGAAGAAAGAGTTAGCTGAAATAGAAGGGAGAGAGAAGAGGAAGGAAGTGGGGCAAGTTTCTTGAAACCAACAGGGAACCCAGAATGGTTTTAAGAAGAAGAAGTACCACCATAACAATAACTTTCACAACAATAATAACTTCTAGGGTAATAACCGTCAAGGAAACAGTAACAACAATGGAGGGGCTATAAACAATAGCCAGGGGAATAACAAGATTGGGATAATTTATTATTGCAAGAGGTGTAAGAATAACCACCCTGGAAAGGATTGCGAGGGTAATTTGGTCTCTTGTCGTGTTTGTTATAAACTTGGGCATAGGGAATATGAGTGTTTCTCAAAAAATAGCAATGGGAACAGGAAAAAACAATAATAATTCAGGAGGAAACCAGAGGAATTTCCAAGGGAACAACAACAACTTTACTGGGAACAAGGGAGTGCAACAAAATGGGGCAAAGAACAGTAACACCACCAGTGTGAATAGCCAACAGAAAGGTGGAACTGCAGGGAAACTGAATGTTCTGAGTAAGCATGAGGCGGATGCCACGAAAGATGTTATCACTGGTACTTTTTCTATTAACTCTATTCCTGTTAAAGTGTTGTTTGATTCTAGTGCAACTTTTTCTTTTGTTTCTAAGGGTGTTGTTTCAAAACATAAAGACTGTTTAAAGATAGTAGAGGTAGTAGATTTACCCATAACCATTCCGACAGGTGGGGTAGTGAATTGTACCAAAACTTTTAGAAATGTGCCTTTAGAAATAGAAGGAAAGATATTCCCGTATGAACTTATTGAGTTTGGGCTGAGTGACTTTGATCTTATTTTGGGAATGGACTGGCTGAGTAAGTATAATGCTGAGATTAGTTGTAGATCACAGAAAGTGAAGATGGTCACAAGCGGAAATGAATCAGTGACTTACTGGATGAATGGTAAAACCAAGTGCCTAAGGGTAATATCAGTGCTAAAATTAGCAAAATACATGAAGAAGGGACATCCAGTATATATCTGTATTGTTAGGGATATGAACCATGAACAAGTGGCAAATCCAGAAAATATAGCAGTGGTCAACGAATTCCTGGATGTATTTCCGGAGGAGATCCCTGGAATGCCACCTAAGAGGGTAATCGACTTTACCATAGATTTAGTTCCCGGAAAATCCCCAATATCCAAGGCACCATATCGAATGGCACCTGCAGAATTTAGTGAATTAAAGGAGAAATTACAAGATTTATTGGACAAAGGGTACATTAGACCAAGTGCTTCTCCTTAGGGAGCACCAGTTCTATTTGTGAAAAATAAGGATGGAAGTATGAGGTTGTGCATTGACTACAGGGAACTAAATAAAGTAACCATAAATAATAAGTATCCCTTACCAAGAATCGATGATTTGTTTGACCAACTAAAGGGTGCCACGGTGTTTTCAAAGATCGACTTGAGATCTGGGTATCACCAATTGAGGATTGCCGGCGAAGACATTCCAAAAACCGCATTTAGGACAAGATATGGACACTACGAGTTTACAGTTAAGCCTTTTTGATTGACAAATGCTCTAACAATCTTTATGGATTTGATGAATAGGGTATTTCATCAATTTATGGATAAGTTTGTAGTTGTGTTTATAGATGACATACTGGTGTACTCAAACATTAAGGAAGAGCACGCTAAACACCTAAGGGAAATTCTGCAAACACTAAGAGAAAACCACCTCTACGCAAAATTCTCTAAGTGTGAGTTTTGGTTGGAAAAGGTAGCCTTCTTGGGACATTACGTGTCCAAAGACGGAGTAGAGGTAGATGCAACCAATATAGAAGTTGTTAAGAGTTGGCCTACACCAAAGACAGTATCTGATGTGCGAAGTTTCTTAGGTATAGCAGGGTATTATAGGCGTTTTGTCAAGGATTTTTCCAATATTGTTAAACCTATGACCACCTTGATGAAGAAGGACAAGAAGTTTGAGTGGGACGATAAATGTGAAGAAGCGTTCCAACTCTTGAAACAAAAACTAATTACAGCACCAGTACTTACACTCCCGGATGATAGTGGAATGTATGATGTGTACAGCGATGCATCAAAGAATGGTTTAGGGTGCGTGCTTATGCAAAATGGGAAGATGATTGCATATGCATCAAGGCAGTTAAAGACCCACGAAGTAAACTATCCAACCCATGATTTGGAATTAGCTGCAATCATTTTTGCACTAAAAATTTGGCGCCATTATTTGTATGGAGTGAGATGTAGAATTTACACAGATCATAAAAGCTTAAAGTACATTTTCACCCAAAAGGACTTGAACTCTCGTCAGCGAAGATGGTAAGAGTATATGACAGATTATGATTTAGACATACAATACCACAAAGGGAAAGCGAATGTGGTTGCGGACGCTCTAAGTCGTAAAACTAGTCATGGAATCAACTCGTTAGTAGTGGCTAATGAATTATGTAGAGAAATGATGAAATTGAATCTAGAGGTTGTAGAATGGGGAGTACCAGCGGGTATTCTTGCAAATCTAAGCATCCAACCAACAATATTTGACGAGATTCGAGCCAACCAAGATGGAGATGTAAAGTTGGATAGGATTCGCGAGAAAATTAAGCAGGGAAGGACTACAGATTTCAAGATTCACGAAGATGGGAGTTTGAGGTACAAAGATTGATGGTGCGTACCACAGAAATGCGAGGAGATGAAGAGAAAGTTGATGGAAGAAGGCCACAACACACTACTCTGTACACCCGGGAGGATACAAGCTATATAAGGATTTGAAGAAGATGTTTTGGTGGCCTAGAATGAAAAATGAGGTTGCTGAGTTTGTGGCAAAGTGTTTAACATGTCAAAAGGTGAAGATAGAGCACAGGAGGCCTCAAGGGACGGTGCAGTCACTAGAAATTCCAGGATGGAAGTGGGATTGCATTTCAATGGATTTTGTGACTTGCCTTCCAAAGTCAAAGAGTGGAAATGATACCATTTGGGTAGTGGTGGATAGACTTACGAAATCAACAGTGTTTATACCAATGAAAGAAACTTGGAAGATGGAGCAACTTGCAAAAGCTTACATCAAACATGTTGTGAGGTAACATGGGGTTTCAAAAGATATTGTATCTGACAGAGATTCCACATTTCTCTCAAAATTCTGGAAAAGTGTACAAGAAAATTTTGGTACAATACTTAAGATGAGTATGGCATTTCACCCCGCCACAGATGGACAAACTGAGAGAACCATTCAAACCTTGGAGGACATGTTCAGAGCTTGTGTAATAGACTTCCAGGGAGGTTGGGAAGGTAGTTTGGATTTAATTGAATTTTCCTACAATAATAGTTACCACACAAGCATAGGAATGACACCATTTGAGGCTTTGTATGGGAGGAAATGTCGTAGTCCAATTTGTTTTATTTTAAGAAGTTATGATTTTTAACAAGTTTTAGTAGGGAAGGGATTAGGAAAAACTAAAGGAGGAAAGTTTAGGGTAAAAGGGGTGATAGAGAAGGGGAATAAATATCCCTCTTAGGAGGCAATTCAACTTTGCTCAGAGTGGAGAAAACCCAAGGTAAACTTTCTCCTTTTTCTCTTTATTTTCTTCTTTCTTTTTTTCTTTTTCTCTCTCCTTCCCTTCCCCTTCTTGTTGCGCACCACCACCACCGACAGCCACCACCACCGGTGGGCCACCGACCACCAGCACCAGCCGGCAGCAGCGGGGACCACCGGCAGTGGCGCCGGCCTACTGTCGGCAGCCACATATTTCGAAAAAAAAAATCAAATCTTTATTACCCAAATCTAATCTAGGCTTTAATCTAATTGTAAATTACGAGTTTGGAGATTTAATTTTGATGTTTGGTTATTGTAATTATGTTAATTAATTTTCAGATTTGGTTTTTAATTAAAAAGCCCCAATTTTCGAAACCCTAGGTTCTTGATTCATGAGTTATTGAAGGATTATGATGTATAATAGGGTAGGCCTTTGTTTTAAGTGTTTTAAAGCTTAATTACATCAAGTTTTAATTATAATAAAGTGCTGGAATTTTATGTAGAACACTTAATATTATGTTTCTTGAAGAAACTTTAATTACCCATTATTTGGGACTTAATTATGGTATTTTAAATATAATTTCAGCTTAGTTTAATTAAACTATGAGGGGTTTTAAAATAGTATACATTGCCGGAAATTTGTTTAGAGTGAATATTATTACTCTATTATGAATTTAATGTCTAGGAGACTTTGAAGTAAGCAATTTCTACTAGTCGTGGCAATTTTAAATTCGTACTTAAGGTACGTACGCGTACTTAGCATATTTTTATGATGTAGAATCATGCTAGGTTTGATTTCAATCAATTACAAGTAGTATCATGCTAAGGTTTATGTATGGAATTTTGAATTTATGGTGTTTGTGATTGAATTGTGAAGCATGAATTATTTGTGATGGTTATGGATTGGAAAATTATATTTTGGGCATGTTGTGTTTGAACTACATTTTTATTTATGGCATGTTAGAAGGCATGACTAATTAAACTACATGTTTAATTATGTTTGGAATATTGAAATGGAATTTTATTATGGTTCAAATAATTTTTATTGCTGCTTTAAGCATGAGGAAGGAGCTATATAAGTGTCTATGTACACAAGGAAAAAATTGTATGTTGGTGCCTTTGTGCACTTAAGGTGTTTTTAACACCGAGGGATAGGATTTTTGGCGCATTATGCGTTTAAGGTGTCTTTGACACTGAGGTAAAATTAAAAAGGGTTCAACATTATATAATATGTGGTCACTAAGTGTTCAAGAATTAATTTTGTATGTTTGGTTGATTGAATAATTATTGTTGATTGTTTTCTGATGCTTTGAGAGTCATCACTAAGTCGAATAAAAGGTAAATAACGTAAAGTGAAAGAGATTACGCACCAAAACTCTTGAAACATATATACCTTGAGTATGAACAATGGGGGGAGTTATGGGGTTTTATATTTAACCATAACTTCTAATGGAGTACAGGACGCTGTACATTCCTTTTTATTTATTATTATGCGCAGGAATTTCGCCACCTTTGAGTGGTTTTGTCGCTGGCACGGTTAGCTCCCGTG